GGCCGTTAAGAAGCCTGGGGCGGGGGTAGCCAATCAGCCTTCCGGCGCCTCCTCCTGGTTGCCCTCAGTCCTGCTCCGCAAGATCACCTGGTAAAACCGCACTGCTGGGCACACCTGGGCCTGGAGCAGTCCGAGTGCGGCCCAGGGAATTTGCATTTCTGACCAGCTCCAGGTGAGGCCCATGCTGCCGTCCAGGGCCTTTCTGGGGAGTCTCGCCGCGGCCCTGGGGGTTTACCCGGGCCTGCCGCCGCTCCCCGCAGCCCTTCAGCGGGCTGGCTGCGCTAGGGAGGAAGCTCGCTGCTCCTTTACCGCCTTCCTTCCTTTTTCTATTCCTGCCTGCCCTCCTGCCCTCCTGCCCTTCTCTCCCCCACGCCGAGTAGGGCCGAGGGTCTCCAGAAGAGAGCCCTATTTCCAGAGCGATGAGGGTGAGGAGGGGCGCCGTGGGGTACCCAGCAGAGGCAGGGACTGTGGGAGGGCGAACTGGCACGTTTGGGTGGGCGGTGAAAAAGACCAGCGGATTCGGATTCAGCTGCGGAAAGCCCTCTGCGCAGCGGGGCCTCGGCTTGGGGGTCACATAACCAGGGCTCTCACTGGCTTCTTACGCTTCGGTTCCACCCGTGAAACTTCTCTCCCACATACAAGGTTCACGGAACAGAATAAAACACCCTATCTCATGAAAGAAAGAAACTTAAAAAAACAGGACAAATTTATGATGCATATAGGTTTTCTCACTAAAATAAGTGTACGACTCCGCGACTTTACATAGAGGAAATGCCCCTCAACCGCGCTGCAGAGCCTGATCCCATCAGTCCCAAAGCTTCAGGGAGAACCGGCCCCTGAAGAAGCGCTGCCTCTGGGCTGCGGCTTTAGGCCTGCGCAAGGCGTCCTCCTGCTCTTCCTAGAGCCCACCGCGCATTTCAGACCCGCCTCAGGCCCAGAATCGCATAGGGCAACGCCTAGCAACAAATCCCCGCTGAAACTATTCATGTACATTTGGGCACTTTCCAGTTTTCGACTATTACGAGAGCAAGCCTTTGCGTGGACACAAATGAGGGGACTTGAAAAAGTTCATGGAAAAATGGAATTAAAGTATGAGGGTTTTTTTTTTTTAAAGAATGATTTATTTTTACTTGTTATTTTTAAAAAAGAATTTTACTTCTTACCATTATTATTATTTTAAATTTGCTATAGAGCACTTGCATGCGCCAGAAAGACAGAAAGAGAGAGAGAGAAAGTGAGAAAGCAAGCTGTTGTCAGGTCCGAGACTTGAACCACAGTCTGGCATGTGGGAATTCAGTGTTTTAACCACCATGCAACCTGCTGGTCCCTGTTACTGTTTTTAAAATTTTGCTATCAGGCACATGCACTCACCAGAGAGAGAAAGAGAGAGAGGGGAAAGTGAGAAAGTAAGCTGCCAGGTAAGGACTCGAACTGTGGTTGGCCATGTGGGAGTCCCGCACCTTAACCACTAAGCCACCTGCTGGCATCAATATGAGTTTATTTTGATGTCAAAAATGAAACCCACACATAGTTTACTCAAAATACACATTTTACAGGATGTTTTTGAAGACCCTTTATATTTTAATTTTTCTTGGGCAACTAAATACCTAGGAGTGGAATTTTTGGATATGTAGTTACTATATATTACACTTTTTAAGAATTATTTAATGTTATTTATTATAATTATTATTTTAAAGAATCACTAATTTGATATAATTAATTTATTTTAAAAATTAATTATTTTAACTTAGTTATTATTTTCCAGTTAGATCAGGTACGCGGGGAGAGTGAGAAAGCAAGCCACCAGGTCTAGGACTTGAACCGTGGTTGGCCATGTGGAAATCCAGTGCCTTTAACCACATCACCTGCCAGCCCTATCATTCATTTATTTTTAATTTGACAGAGGGGTGCAGAGAAGGAAGTGAGAAAGCAAGCCGTCAGGTCCAGGACTCAAACCGTGGTCGGCCATGTGGGAGTGTCCAGTGCCTTAACTACCATGCCACCTCCTGGTCCCATTATTATTATTTTTAATTTTACCAGAAAGAGATGGAAAGTATTAAAGTAAGTCACTGGGTCCAGGACTCAAACCGCGGTCAGCCATGTGGGAGTCCAACGCTTAACCACCACACCACCTGCAGGCCCTACTATATATTAAACTTTATGTGAAACTGCAAAACTATTAATACTTTTGAAATTAGTGTACCATTTTGCATTTGAACCTGCAGTGTATGAGAATTCCGAGTGCTCCCTGCCATTGCCAACACTTGGCATCGTCAGTCTGAATTTTAGCTGTTCCAGTGGATGTATACTGGCATAACACTGGCTTTTATTTGTATATCCTTGAAAATGAGTGATTTGAGCATTGCTTCAGACGAGTACGGATCATTTGTATATTTGTACCTGTTGAAATATTTTGCCCATTGAAAAATAACTGAGTTAATTGGAGTTATGCTTCTATATTGAGCCAGGACTCAAATTTTTTTAGAGGTTTTTGCCTTAGGGTGTGTGCACTCACTGAAGAGAGAGAGAGAGACAGAGACAGTGAGAGGGAAAGTGAGAAATCACCCCCCAGGGGAGATAGCCACGCTGCAATCCCTTCTCCATTCTCCTCTCGAGATCCTGGGCACACACGCACACGTGCCCAGCGTGAGTTTAAGCCATAGGGTCTGGGACTGGAAGCATGGTCAACTACATGGGGGTCCAGAGACATAGCCATTACACTAACTGCTGGTCACACTTTTACATTTTTCTACAAAAAGGTTTTTTTGAATTGTTATTGGAATTTTGTTGAATGAAAAGATCAATCTGGGGGAACTGACAGCACAGTTTTGAGTCCTATACAAGAACATGTCTATATTGGGGCCAGCAGTGGCGTGGTGGTTAAGGTGCTAGACACTCCCACATGACGGACCACTGTTCAAGTCCTGGGCCTAGCAGCTTGCTTTCTCACTTTCCCTCTCTCTCTCTGATCAAAATAAAATGGATGAATAAATAAATAAAAAAAAAAAAAACAAGAACATGTCTACAGACAAGAACAATCTATTTAGATCTTTAATATTTTATAACTTTTAGTATGCAGATTTGGCACATCTTCAATTTATTCCTTTGTACAAAGGGACTTTGAAACGTTTGTGGACAAATGGAATTAAAGTGAGCTTAATTTTTTTTTTTTTTTAAGAGAGATTTTTGCTATAGGGCAGGTACGCCTGCCAGAGCCAGAGAACCAGAAAGCAAGAAATCACCCACTAGGGGGGATGGCCACGTGGCAGTCCCTTCTCTTTCATTCTCCTCTTGGGATTTTGGGCACACACACACACACCAGTGTGAGTTTTAAACCACCAGGTCTGGGACTCGAACTGTGGTTGAATACGTGGGAGTCCAGCTATGTAAACATTACGCCATCTGCTGGTCCCGAAGTGAGTTTGTATTGACGCAAACGTTTTTTAAATCCAGGGCCGGCTGGTAACGTGGCAGTTAGAATGCTTCCCACATGGTCAACGGTGTTGTTCAAGACCAGATCTGATGGCCTGAAAAATATGCTGGCCTGGAACACCCAGCATGTGTGCCTGCATGCCCAGATCTCGAGAGAACGGAGGAGTGATGTTGGCTGGCAATCCCCAGAGGGCTGCTTTCTCTGTTTCTCTGCCAAGCACATGTCCCTACAGCAAATTAAACTTTTTTTTTTTTAAGAGGTTTTTGCCATAGGACGTGTGCCCTTGCTGGAGATACAATGACAGGGAAGGTGAGAGATCACCCCCCGGGGGATGGCCACTGCAATCCCTTCTTCTCTGTTCACCTCATGCGGTGTTGGGCACACATGCACACGTGCACACGTGCCAGTGAGTTTTAAGGCACCAGGTCTGGGACTCAAACTGTGATTGGCCCTGTGGGAGCCGGGTGATGTAACCACTCTGTCAATTGCTGGATCCTAAATTTTTTTTTTCAAAATCCGCATGTAACTTTTTCTTAATTTTGAGAGGGTGAAGAGAGAGAACCCCCCAGCGGGGTATTGTGGTGTTGCAATCTCCTCTCCCCCACTTCTCCATCCCATCAGAATTTTGGGCACCCGTGATTTCAAGCCACTAGGGTGGGGACTTGAACCGTGGTAGATTATGTGGGATCATGCACGTTCAGCCACTGTGTTATGGAGCCAGCCCTGTATTTTCCTCATAATTGGCATTTCCTGTTCCATTTTGGAAGACTCTCTTGCATTTCATGTTTTGGATGCTGTAACTAACGGTACAGACTTTAAAATGTGGGCCCAGCTGGGGTGGTGTAGGCAGTAGACTGCCGTTTGCAATGCTGGAGACACGTGGAAGGCCTGGGTTCAGAGGGTGGACCCCAACTTGTCAGATGTGCGACTGTGACCCTGGCTGGCTGGGAGTGCTTGGGGAGAATCATGGTGTGGCAACACCTAGGGTCCCTGTCTCTCTCTCATGAACTCAATAAATAGCTTTACTTCTTAAAAATGTTCTAATCGTTTATTAGTATATGGAAATACACTTGCTTTATACTGACCTGGTATTCTGTGATGTTGTGAAACTCACCTATTAGATATTTTGTGATACCTCTGAATAGCTTTACTTTCCCCTTTCTGACGTGTGTGTCTTTCTTTTTGGTCTGGCTGTGGCTAGGACTTCCGTACGTGAACAGGAGTGCTGAGAGGGGTACCCTGGTCTTGTTCTTAATTTTAGGGGAAACACTGTCTTTCACCTTTAAGTATGCTATCCCTGGGAGGCTTGTTACAGGTGTCCTATATTGGGTTAAGAATGCTTTCTTTTTAAAATAATTCTTTATTTTATTTATTCATTCATTTATTTGTTAATTTGACCAGAGAGAGACAGAGGGTGAAAATGAGAGAGAGGAAGTGAGAAAGCAAGCCACCAGATTCAAGAATCGAACCCTGGTACCATGTAGGAGTGTCCAGCGCCTTAACCACCACGCCACCTGCTGGTCCCAAGAATGCTTCTTTCTAATCCTATGTTGCTGTATTTCTTTTTATAAATCATGAGTATTTAATTTTGTCACTTTTTTCTTTATTGAGATGATCCATTATTTCTCTTATATTTTGTTTATAGGATGAATTGTTTACTGATTTTCAAAATGAATTATTTACTTAATTCCATTTGTCATTATTATTTTTTATTTAGACCAGAGGCAGAGAGAAATGGAAAGCGCAAAGCAAGCCACCAGGTCCAGGGCTTGAACCGTGGTTGGGCATGTGGGAATCCAGTCTTGATCCACCATCAGCAGCTGGCTCCTCATGATTTTTTTTTTTTTTTGAGAGATTTTTGCTACAGTGCACTCGCCAGAAAGACAGAGACAGAGAGACAGAAAGTGAGAAATCACCCCCTCAGGGGGGATGGCCATGCCGCAATCCCTTCTCCTCCAT